ACACGGTGAAACCCCGTCTCTACTAAAACTACAAAAAATTAGCTGGGCATGGTGGCGCGTGCCTGTAATCCCAGCTACTCAGGAGGCTGAGGCAGGAGAATTGCCTGAACCCAGGAGGCGGAGGTTGCGGTGAGCCGAGATCGTGCCATTGCACTCCAGCCTGGGTAACAAGGGAGAAACTCAGCCGTATGTTATCTTAACTTGGAAAGAACCAGGGACCTCCTAAGGAGGTCACGAGGATCTACACAAGTTAAGATAACATACAGATGTCAGAATCCAGGAACCAATGTTTCTTCTAGTATTCTCTAGTCCATTCTGAAGAGCCGTCTGGTGGGTCAATGTATTGAATGAAGGAAAAAACACTTTATAAAAGCCTAATTTTAACTTTTGGCATCCCAGGTTGTTCTACTGGTCTAAGACCACTCACCAGCATCCACCCTGCCAGTCTTCCTCCACAATAGACCAAAGTAACCTTTCTAAGCATAAATCTGATTATGTCCCTCCAGTGTGGAAAGCACCAGTGGACCTCCATTGACTACAGAATACAGAATAGTTTCAATTAAGACTATTTCCTTTAGACTTGGTATGTTTTGTACTTTCTAGCCATAAAAACCACAATTTATGAGTCCTTTTCTAATCAAATTTTAGTGGCTCTAGACATCTTAAAATGCTGGCTAAATTCTTTTTTTTTTTTTTTTTTTTTTAAGACAGGGTCTTTGCTCTGTCACCCAAGCTGGAGTGAAGTGGTGCAATCAACCCACAGCTCACCGCAGCCTTGACCTCTCGGACTCAAGCAATCTTTCCACCTCAGTCTCTGAAGCAGCTGGGACTAAAGGCATGTGCCTGGCTAATTTTTAAAATCTTTTTTTTAGAGATTGGTCTCACTCCTGGGCTCAAGAGATCCTACTATCTTGGCCCCCTAAAGTGCTGGGATTACAGGCGTGAGCCACTGTGCCTGGCAGCTAAATTCTTTCTTCCTTTTTACTTCCCAAAACTTGGCAAGGGATTGTCAATTTCATTTCCCAATATTCCTTTCAACAAAAATATTATTATTTTTTTTTTATAGTAAAAGAGAAACACTCTAACCAGACAAGCAGAAATCAAAGAAGGCAAATCTCTAGCCTCAGGAATATATTTTCCTGGCTTAATAAAAACTCTAGTTAAAAAAATAAAAAGAAAACAATCAACCAAACCACAAACCCAACAACAAAACCCCAACAAATAAACAGATTCATAAACTCTCAAAATGGAATTCTTCTTTCATCTAAAAGAATTCATTTCTGTACAACCTTGAAGAAATATTAGCATCAAGATTAGTAACAGGCAACTGTTGACTATCTATTTATCTTGGAAGATAAATGTTTCTAAGTTTAAAAAAGAAGGATCATTAGAAGGGAAAATAAAAACCCATTTCCATGCTCACACAAAACGTTGTTTAAATTTAAAAATGCCTGTTTCAATATGTTATGAGGACAAATCAAGGTATAAAAATCACAGGCTACTAGGTATAAGCATGACTATGTTAAAAAAACTATATATGCATGTGTGTGTCACATGTCACCCAAACTACAAATACCTTTCAACCCTCTCTAGCCATAGCTACCTATCCCCATTTCCTGCTAATCCTTCCTCCAAAATCTATCTCAAATGCATTTTATCACTGCTCACCAAGGTAAGATTACTGTAACAGCTACCTTTATATGGTCTTCCCACCTCCACAGTAGTAGGTTCTCAATTTTCACAGTGTATATGAATCACCGTGTTTCCTGTTTGCAATGCAGATTCTACTGTGTGACCCTCAAATATTCTGATGTGAGTCTGCACTGAGGAAGCAAAATCTGCATTTCTAACAAGCATTCCAGGTTGTTCCCCTGGTCTGAGACCACTGCCCCTTTGGTTGTCCTCCACAATGCATCAAAGTGACATTTCTAAGTATAAAACTGATCATGTCTCTCCAGTGTAGAAATCACCAGTAGACCTCCATTGACTACAGAATACAGACCACAATTCTTTGTATTTCACAAAGGTTACTTCACTAGTTGGCTCCAATCCACTACAAACCCTTAGGAATTATTCTGTTTCCCTGGCCTCCTTTCTCTCTTGCACCTGGTATTGTTCCATTGGTCCCTATCTACCCTTCTAGGCTGTGGGCTCTTTCACATCAGAGACTCAGTTGCTTCCTCACACTGCACAGTGCCTGCCATAAACAGTGTGAATAAAAAGATGATCTGTCAACAAGGCTTTGTTAGTGTGATGGCTAATTTTGTGTCAACTTGACTGAGCTACTGGGTGCCCAGCAATCTGGTTAAACATTACTCTGCATGTATCAGTGAGGCTGTTTCTGGATGAGATTAGCATTTTAATATATAAACTGGGTAAAGCAGTTTGTTTTCCCCGTGTGCGTGGGCCTCAGCCAATCCATTGAAAACCCAAATAGTACAAAAACTCTGACTAGATGAGGAAGAATTCATCCTCTGACTGCTTCAAGCTGTGACCCTGTACTTCTTCCACCTTTAGAGCCAACTAGCTAAGTAAACTGTGAAATACAATTGTGGCTGTATTCTATACTCAATGGAGGTTCACTGGCGATTTCCACACTGGAGGGACTTCTGACTTACACCATGGGCTTTCCTGGGTCTCAAGCCTGCAGACTGTCGATTTTGGACTCCTCAGCCTCCATAATCATGTGAGCCAATTCCTCACAATCAATTTCTTTATATATCTTTTTGTCTCCTGTTGGTTCTGTTTCTTTGGAGAACCCTAACACGCTACTGATGCAGGTGAAGTAAACAGAATTTTCTGCCTTTTTTCCAATTCACTCAGTTAAGAGACTATAATAAGAATTCAATATAACCAGAAAGATTAACTTTTTTGAATAAACTGTTTAAATAAACAAGAAGGAGAAGTTGAAGGCCAGGTTAGCTACGTAAGTATGTATTTTATGTTTCTCATGCAGACTTTTCTGAAAAGTTATATAGTTAACTCATTTAAGTGACTTTTCAGAAAAGTCTATGTGAGAAACATAAAATACATACTTATGTAGCTAACTTTACTTATCCCTTAGAGTCTCATGGACTGTAATTTATAGAACTCTATGTAATTAATAGAATTACAAAGTAGGAAGATTTAATAGAGATCTAGTCTAACCACTCTTAGAAACAGAGACACAGAAAAGGTAGGTAATTTGTTTCTCAACTGTGTTCCCATATGCAAAGTACCACCCCAGAGTAAAAAGAAATCACCAAACAAATCTGGGTAAAAAAGAAACCAGTGGTCAGATACGTTCTAGCTACTAATCAATATAAAATGCCCAAGTCTAGGCCTTTGTAGCCGGGATCCTAAAACTGGTTTTCCTTACTTTCAACATTTTCCCCCTTCCAAAGCACACCCTTTTCTTCAAGGCTGAGCTTGGCATATTGAGATCCTGACTCATCTTGACTCTTCCACAAAGGTGAAGTGTCACTCCACTTTTTTTTTTTTTTTTTTTGTATTTTTAGTAGAGATGGGGTTTACTCATGTTAGCCAGGCTGGTCTCAAACTCCTAACCTCAAGCATTTCGCCTGCCTCAGTCTCCCAAAGTGTTGGAATTACAGGCGTGAATAAGTTGCGCCCAGTCAACTTTTCAGAGCCATGATATCCTGATTGTTAATACTATGAGGTTGCACTAGATTATTTCTAAATTTTCTAGTAACTTTCAGGCTCTCACCTCTTCCAGCTAAAATATGTTATAATTTTGTTCTACTTCCTACATCCTAACCCATATCCTTCCCTGAAGACTGTAACACATAGTGCCTTTTTTCTTTCCCTGATTTACTATTAAAGCAAAATTTAGAATTGTACTGTTTGGTGTGCCCTGCACAAACAGACGTAACTGTCTGTATTCATTACTAGTGTTTTAACTGTGCTATCAGCCATGTCTTCCCCTCAGCTAAACTGTATACTCCAAAGAGGACAAGGAACATCTGATTATATCCTAAATATTTCACATGTAGTTGTAAACTTTGTCACATATTACGTATACAATTTACCGTCATGTGCAGTTGATATGGTTTGGCTGTGTTCCCACCCATATCTCATCTTGAATTGTAGTTCCCATAATGCCCACGTGTCATGGGAGGGACTGAGTTAGAGGTAATTGAATCATGGGAGCAGTTACCCACATGCTGTTCTCGTGCTAGTGAGTGAGCTCTCACGAGATGAGATGGTTTGATAAGGGGCTTTTCCCCCTTTGCTCAGCACTTCTGCTTCCTGTCGCCATGTGAAAAAGGATGTGTTTGCTTCCCCTTCTGCCATGACTGTAGGTTTCCTAATTTAACTCACAGCTCCTCCCCAGTCCTGAGGAACTGTGAGTTAAATTAAACCCTTTTCCTTTATCAATTACCCAGTCTTAGGCAGTTCTTTATAGCAGCATGAGAATGGACTAACACAGTGGAAAACCCTTACATTAACTTAAAAAGAAAAAAAACTGCCTACATGCATGAATGCTTTCTTGTTTTTGGTTTGTAGTCTGAAAAAATTCCACTTCATATGAACTCCAGTGTTCTCAAAAGCTAAGTGACATGTCAGACACATTTTGTTAACATATTTAATAAGATTCAACAACATATATCTGCTAACCATATTTGTCAACAAAATATGATTCAAGTAACAGTCTTTTCTATTTGCTAGAGATGGCATTATAAAGAAGAAAGTTGAAAAAAAGAGCATGCTGAAAACATACTAGGAAAAAAACTTACATGCTAAAAAATATTTGAAATTGTAAAAAATCATCAAACAATGATTAAATCAAAGAAACTCAGTTCAGGTTGTTGCTGTAACATAATAAAGCTGGTATCAAGATCAAACAATAAATATCATAAGCAAAATAACAAAAACTTTTCTGTACAAAAGACAAATTATAAAACTTCCATACTGTGCTTATACAGTGATGGTAAATAAAAATCTTGCAGCATGTAATTATTCCCCAAATCCAACAGTGATTAATTAAATAATGCACCTACTCTTTATAAGTTCCTGTTTCAGGATCTTCCGTCATGACGTCGTGCAGGCCTTCCACTGAGATGTTTATAATCCCACAGAATTTATCTTGGATAACACTAGAATAAAAGAAAAGCAAAACAGGTTAACTGGAGTACTAGAACAGGTTAATTTTTTTTCCCCTAAATATCCTCTTGAACAAGAAGAAAAATTTCAGTTCCTAAATACAAAAGAAACTTTCAAAATATATTTCTTAAAACAAAAATTTTAACTTTGCCTATAACATTATAAAATTCTTTTTCACTAGATTATTCGTATGTTTAAATACTAGATGGGTAGATTAGATAGAAAAGGACTATTTTAATATTCTTGGATTTATTATAACAGTGTTATGTTACTTTTATAACTACAAAGACAAACATACAGAGTATTGACAAGTAAAAATTCCTGCTCTTCTAATGACACTGTAAAGAAAAAGGACATGCCATATTCTGGAAGAAAATATTTGCAAAACAAGTATCTGCTAATGGACTTGAATCTAGGATGTAAAAAGAACCCTGAAAACGCAGTAAGATGACAAATAATTTCAATTTAAAATAGGAATCAGGTGCAGTGGTGCAAGCCTGCTGTAGTCCTAGCTACCTAGGAGGCTGAGGCAGGAGGATCTCTTGTGGCCAGGAGTTCAAGACTGCAGTGCACTATGATCACACTTGTGAACAGCCACTGCTTTCCAGCCTGGACAACATAGAGAGATCCATCTCTTAAAAGAAACAAAACAAAAACACTTTTATAAAAAAAGGCAAAAATGTGACAGACATTTCGCCAAAGATACACAGATGACATGTGAGCATGCTAACAGGATGCTCATCACCATTAGGCATTAGGGAAATTCGAATTAAATAATAACAAATATTTTTTTTTAATTTAGTGTGTTTTTTTTATTTTTTATAGATTTGGCGGTAAATCTGTAAAAGTGCAGATTTTACAGACTTTTATAAAGTCTAAGGAGGAAAACAGGCAGGCAGTAACACAAATTTTTCAATTAACTTTTCAAAATAGTTATATAAGCTAAAACTGATGATGCAATACTTTTTAATAATAGCAATCCCAAGACAGAAATGGATCAGAACCTTAATCACCTTAGAATTTTCTCAGCTCTAACTAGAGCATAATTATGCTATTTATATATCGTACCTAATTAGTATTTAAAGTTATTCTTGCATTATTATATTTTAAAAACAGAAAGTAAGTCAAGTTAGGGTAATTTAAGAGACTAAACAAGTTTTTAGGCACTAAAACTCACAACCAAATAAAATATTCCCTTAACTATATTTATCTGCTTATTTCTTTCAACGGGGTTAAGCAAAGAACAACAATTTATTGAAATAGTCAAAGGAAGAAACAAGCCCTGATTTATCAGCTTTATTCCAGAATTTCTACAACAGTAGAGACTACAACAGTAGTAACATTAAAAAAATAGTTTTCCACTTTTCCCACCAGAGGAGGAAGAGCTGACAATCGGAAGAGCCCCTGAGCAAGGAACAAACTTAGCTGAAATCACCTACAATTGGCAAGCAATGATAACGGAGATGGTGGAGTATCCACGCAGCTGCCAGCAGCTAGAGCCAAGACTGAAATCCAGAACCTTATACTGATCAAACCCAGAGGGCAGTGCTCCAGGCTTGACCTCACCATGCTGAGAAACTGCTTTTCAGAGGGCTTCTACAGAGCTCACAGCTCATCTTTTAGAAGAAGTCATCTCTAGCTACTCTCAGTTTCTAGGCTTCGCAGGACTCCCTTCAGCCTAGAGCAATGCAGCTTCTGACCCTACAACTCCATAGACAGAGGACATCCATTTTTGAAATCTAGAGGCCACACTTCAGTCTACCTCATGAGATAGCTCTGTTGGGTGGATAACACTGGTCTCCCTTCCTGAAGACTCTGCTTTTTTGCCTTCTGTGAGCATAGCTTCTTCTGGTCACTCTTGTTCTCTAGCATAGAATTCTTCTCTGGGGGGTCCTTCGGCATCATTATTGCCCAGGGGAGTACAAAGGACCACATAAGGGAGTATGATTGTTGGTAAGAAGCCAAGATCAGTCCACATCTCAAAAAGAGATGGTAGCAGGCTGAAATGGTTTGGTGGCCATGGGAATAAAGAGAAAGGGGCAGATTTGACAGATGTTTAATGGGTAAACATCACAGGATTTGGCAACTAATTGGCTATGGAAGATAAATGGGAGGAAAGAGTCTAGGAGAACTGCTGGGTTTCATCTTGAGTGGATGACTTGGCTAGGTTAGTGACTTCACTCAATACAATAGGAGGTATAAAAAAAGCAAAGACATAAGAGAGAAGATGATAAAAGTGGCATCCTAGAAAACGAGAGAGTGACCAACACCAAAAGTCAAGCAATCAGATAAATCAGGTTCTAAGCTGAGGAAGGGGACTGACAATTCTTTCAAAAAGCTTCTCCATGGAGGGAAACAACAGCGTAATAACCAGAGGGAGTGCAGGGTTGAAGGGGTGTTTTTTTTGGCTAAGGGAAATGGACCAGTAGAGGTTGAGCAGCTGAAAGTGCAGGTGACAAGATGGTGGCTGAAGGAGCAAGATCCCAGAGATGGGATGAAGTGGGATCATAACAGAGGCAGGGCTGAACAGAAAGCATATCTCCTTGCATGAGGCAGCAGGACACAGATGGACATACTCCCTTGGAGGCTGATAGGGGGAGGCAGAAATTCCTGCATTTTGAACTTTCCTCTCTCTGTGAATTAGAAGGTAAGGTTATGTATTAGGCATGTGGGTGACGAAGTAGTTGGGAGCCAGATGGTGAATGTTTATAGTACAGGGTCCTGACCAAGGACAAAGGTTGCTCAATGGCACTGAGGTCCAACTGCAATTGAATGCCCTAGATTTTTAACAGCCCCAATCTGTATACTTCTATAATTTTTAGTTGCTATATTTTACACCCCAAGCAAATATTCATAGGAAGAAACTGAGTTAGGCAATTCAGGTTTGGAAGATTGCAAAGCCGGTAATGTTTGAGGATGAGTGGTTTAAAGAGCTGAGGGTATGAATCAGAAGGCTGAGTTGACCACAGGGCACCAGTTGGGTCAGGTAGAGAATGGGGTTAAGGGGAGGGGGAGGAAAAAACCCTAACACCAAGTGCAAGCATCAAGGTTTATGCCAAACATGGTGGCTCACACCTATAATTCCACTTTGGGAGGCTGATGTGGAATAGTTACTTAAAGCCAGGAGTTCAAGACTAGCCTAGGCAACAAAATGAGACCCTTGTCTCTACAAAAAATAAGAAAATTATCTGGGGGCAGTGGTGCATGCCTCTAGTCCCAGCTACTCAGTCCCAGCTATGAAGATGATTGCTTGAGCCCAGGAGTTCAAGGTTGCAGTGAACCATGATCGCACCACTGCACTCCAGCCTGGTGACAAAGCAATACACTGTACATAAAAAAAAAAAAAAAAAAAAAAGGTTTAGTGGTAAAGAGTAAGAAAACTGGAAAATATGAAGTTACAATAAGGCAGGATATTAGCGTTTTGAGCATGGAATGTATGGATAAAGTGGAAGTGCACAGATTTGAAAAAGAAATCCAAGTCTTGTAGGGCCAATTGTAAGGCCATGCTTGAAACCATTCAGGGTGGCAGAATGTGTGATGAAGACTGCAAAGCAGATTCGAGGCCTCAGTGACTCCTGCAAAGTGAGTGTGAGACTGGTAGAGAGCTGGTGACATAGCCAGATGGCAGGGACATTCTGACCCCTTCCAGACCTTATGGAAGTAGCAGAAAACTGGTCAGCAACAGAGCCTCAAATTGTGGCTTCACCAGTGACTTAACTACGTGGCCTTGGGCAAGTCAATTTAACCTCTCTATGCCCCACTTGCCTCATCAGTAACATGAGGACATAATAATACCCACATGCAAAGTGCTTATAACAAGGCCTGCCACACGTACTAGAGCACTGCTTAAATGTCAGCATCATCACAATTTCTCATTTGAACAATGAGGGGTTAACAGTCATTCTCTAAGTCTCTTAAACTTTTTGGTCTTGGTATCCTTTTACACTATTAAAAACTGCTGAAGATGCCAAATAACTTTTTAAAAAATGTATTATATCTGTCAATATTTTTCAGAAAAGAAACCTGAGAAAATACTTTAAAAATATTTACACACTTAAAAATGTAATAAACTCATTACCACAGGGCACCAGTTGGGTCAGGTAGAGAATGGGGTTAAAAGCGAAAAAAATAAAACAAAAATTTTTCCCCACACATGTTTTCCAGGACACAGCCTTGCAAATACTTTCGTCATTCGAATGGAAACATACAACTTTTCTACTCAGTAATTCTCTGCATGGTCATGGAAAACTATATTAATAAATCTAGCTCCTCTGAAAAATACTAGCAAGAAAATAAGCTAAAAAATCATAGTGGAAATTGACTATCTAAAAGTTGAATTTTTTTGCATTCAAAAATGATCCTTATAAAGACTTTTATATACTAAATTATTCCTCAGATGTTTTATTTTTTGAGTACACACATACATACACACACACACACACACACACACACACACAGCAGCACTGCCCTCCCCCAACAAAACTATTCTTCAAGACCATAAGAAATAACTAAAATGATCTGTATGTAATGGGATAAGAAGAAATTACCATCCTATGTGATTTTGCTGTAAGAAACAATGCCCAGTGAAGGCATGCTAAGGTTCCACGAAAAGGAGATGATTAACGACTACTATAGAACTGTTTGGAAAAAATAAAATAAAAAAAAATTTAAGCTAAGCAAAAATGCTTGAATAGTTATTTAAAAAGTCACTTGACAGAATTGGGTTTTTTAAAAAAGTGATATAAAGGAGTTTATCAGAGACTCGGTAATTAAGGAGCTACGGGTACAACTTCAACATTACAGGTATTGGGAAATGATGAAAATAAAGCTATACAATATATAATTACAAGGTAATCATGAACGTATATTTTAAGAACAAACCAAAAGGCCAACTCTGTTAACGTTACTGAAGTTATATGAAAAGGTAATTGTATCGTGGGATTAAATTCCTGGAAAAGTCTTGTACACCACACAGCTCAGGTCAAAATGAAGA